AAAGCCGCCACTCACGGGGCCGGGATAATCTCTTCACAATCAGATCCCGGGAACGTTTCGATGCATCTACGAGTGCCTTTATCCGCTCCCATAAATGCTAAGCATTATTGTGCTTATTGAATCATTCTCGTACGAAGGGATGATAAAAAAAGAGGAACCGACGACGTCCTAAATAAACACACAAGCCCTCGTCGGTCCTCTTCTCGCGGTGCACTTTCAGTTCTGCAGTCTCTCTAGTATCTTTCCTGTGCGTATTTGTACAGATGGGACGCTTTCAATCTTTATCCGTTGATCGTTGAGTGGCAGCAGTTGTTGATGTTATTCCTGTGGACGCGACGCCCGAGAGAAAACGTCGTGTAAATATTTAGTTTATTAATTTTCGCTCGACGCGCGAGTCCACGATGTTTTTGGTATAGATTTCGATGGCTCAATTAAGCCGGGTAAATACCCAGCTAGAAATTATGAGTTAATATTTTAGTGAGATAATTGTGAAGTGGTTTCAATGAGAATTCGAGTCGAGTTGTCTCGAATTGTCACACCCAAGCTGAAAGCTTGCGGTGTATACACCCTATTCGTATCTCGTTCATTCGTTTAAAAATTACCATAATCTCGTCAGACGTCGTGTACAGCACCACATACTCGACACACGAGACGACGCCGTTTACTCTTATCGGGTCGAGTCGACACGTCACATCGACGACATGTCGAGCAAAGAATATGGGTGGTATTCCTAATGAAATGCACGGCGTATCTGTGGTATTTGCTTACAGATAGTATCCCAATCCGATGTTTTCATGTATTTAAACGTCGGCAAATGGTGTGTTTGCTCCTTATCAACGGTCGCTTTATACCTTGGGTCGAACAATAAAACTTACTTTTTATTGTTATATAAATAAAACCGTTGAAAATTCCCAAGATATAAAAGATATGGTGGCTTAAAATCGGTAAACTAACCGTATCATGCATCAATTAAGAATAATACGAGTTAAGTACGTTACCCTTTTTCCGATTTTATTGAAAGAACTTGCATGGAGGTTCTTTTAAATTAGTGTAATATCAAAAGATGTATGCGGGAAGATAATTTATGGACCTCATCTAGTTAAACTCTATTATATTAGATAAATGAAGAGAAAACGCGTATGCACGTCGCTGTATATTATTACAGGATATGATAATTTATTTTCTTTACCGACCTACATGTACACGTCGAGAGTTTAAACGTTAAAAATAGCCGGTCGAGTCGATACAGGTCGATACACTCGACGGTAAATATTTAACGTCTCGGTTCTTCGAACCTGCACCCGCTAAACTTAGGCGATTTAATCAGAGTGAAGTTTGCCCTATTAATTACGCACATCGAAATATTTACAGCCGGATAAGCACGTGCCGTGCAGTTGTGCTGTTTCGACCCGACAAGTAGCAGAACCTCTCTGTCGATGGAAACTTAGCGGTCTTAGTTGATACTTAATATGCCACGTGAGGCAGCGACGGAAACTCATAGACGTAAAGCACCTGGGTTTCAACGCTTTTTTATCTTTATGCGACGGCGATACAAAACAGTCTGTTATTTGTAATAACAGTCAACTTTTTTGAGTACGTTTAAAAAAGATCTCGTGGGAATTTATATCAGTTGCTGTGTTCTAATTCTATAGAGAAAATTAGTTGTGGTCACTATTGCTATTATCCACATAAGATTAATAACATCTCGAATTACTAGGCCCACTCTTGTCAGATGGCCTGAGTCTATACCGGATCCCATAAATTTAATTCACCACACTCCCACTCGAAACGGCTAGCTGAATGCCGCTCGTTTGTATTGGGAAGGATTTACACAACAGGCAAATATTTACCAGAAATTTAATTTGGCGATTCATCCGAGCGTGGCTAATCTCTCGCTAGGTATGTAGTTATTAAAAGTCAGCAGTAATTGCGGATCACCCCACAACCCCAAACGACGAGGTTTCGTATGCGGCAGCTGGCGCTGCACGTGACCGACAATGGACCAGTTCAAAATGGGATCTACATATGAATATGTGGTCCAACTCTCTCTCGCTCACATATGGATGGCAGCTGCGTCTCATTTTCCACGGTACAACCCATTTGGTATCGTATGGTATTGAATTCTACGTAGACGGCTTTATAATAAAAATCGATCTAACAATACAATAATCCTCTTTTGACGTTTTCATTTCTTTTTTTTGGTTTCCTTCTTTTCCAGAATTTTTTTCAATATCAACTAAAAACAAAATTACCTACATTTATGAAAGGTAAACGGTCGGCTTTCATTAAGCCTATTAGCTACGCCTCAAATATGGCCTGGAGCCCACTAAAAATAGCATCGACTAGTCACAAATCATAAGGAGTTAGCCGGTAATTGAAAGACTGCTCCTAAGCGCCTACTAATCAAATCAACCCGCCAGAACGGTATGCAAGAAATCTCTTATACGCTTGCATAGAAATGTGTGAGATTAGTTACGTACGGTAACTATGTATTAGGTCGTCTAACGATTGGTTACCAACACTTAAGAATCTCCGGATGGACCAAAGATGGTGTTGGATAGACATAAATTTCTATAATCGTAGTCATGCAAAATTGGATATAATTCAACTAATAATCGTTTCACAAATTCCTTAAGAATGTTAGAACTTCCTGTCTTGGTGTGTAAAATAATGATAGTGGTAAAAAACAGACATGGTGTATAAACTATAAACCATACGGTTTTTGTGATAATCTCCGCACGTGACAAACGGGAAGAACCCAGGTATTAACACAGCGGTGATCCGTCATAAGTCACAAACCGATCGCACTATACAATTGCTGGTTTTTTTCTCTTGCGACCTTTTGACGTCGGCAAGGTATTAGTATTTTTAATGGCCCTCTATTGTGTCCGATTCAATTTAGTCGGCGACGAGCGCTTGGGCGGAAGTCTTTAAATCCTTCGGTAATCCGAGCCTGCTGCGAGCACTCCTTTGAGCCCGTCGGTCTGGGTTTATTAATAAATGCAGTAGTGCTGCATCATCGCCGATTTTCGCTTATTGCGTGGACGGGTGCATCGAAATCTAGCAGAGTTCGCTGTTATGAAATGTATCCTAGCAAACGGAGCGTTTCCTCTTTCCCGTGAACGTCGCTCACAAAGGGATATTAAAACGCCTGGGGGAAATATTAAATTCCCGGCCTAATGCCGTCAGCCACCTAGTGCGGAGGTGGCTTAGAAACGCGTAAAATTGTAATAAACCCGAAGGTAGTAAAAATACAAATACGCCTAAACCTAAAAGGAAAACGTTAAAGGCGGATATGTTTGGTTTATTCGTGAGGATTTATTCCTTATAAGTGAATCTACAAACAGTTGAGTCAGAATCTGTTAAGTAAAATTTTCGAAAGAAAGATCCGTTTTGTTTGGACAACCTCATTACACTTCACAAATCTATTGATTATAAACAGAATTAAAACGAATGGTGAAAGTTGAACTACCCCGCGTTCAAAACGCAATATCAATGAATCATGAGGATTCAACTCCACGCCCAAGAACGACAGGAACGGTGTTTATGGCTACTGTATCGACGTTCTCCGGCGCCATAAATTTGAACTGGCGAACGAAACTCCACATCCTCCGACCGACCTATACATCGTACCACTTTCGTTCGTGCATAAATTCGCTAAAATAACAATCCGGGCGCGATTTACACGCCCTGTTGACGGGCTATTGTGGCCTCCGGATCTTATTCACGTCGAAATCAATGTGCAGAGTACGATTTTAAGCGGGCGGGTCGCGTATGCGTCCCATTATTCCGATTTCGCCCTACACGAATGGATCCGATTCCGCCCCAGATCGGGGCAGATGTGAATCCTGAATGGTCCGACTTGAAGTAATACATCATGATAATGACGCGTAAGCGTCGGTCCTAGATCTAATTGACCAAATCCGGTAATAAATTGGACGGATTTGTTGAGTTGCGAACCATTGGGGCGTCTTTTGTGCAAAATACAAATGTAAATTTCCGCCCTTATACTGTTTTGTATGCGGATAAAGAAAACATTTGTCGGTTGGGGGAAAGAAAGAAAGATGATAGACTAATAAATCGCAATGAAAAATCGAAATATTTTCTTTTATATAAAATGGAAGTTCTCAATAAGGCTGACGTTTAATGTTATTACAAGAAAGTTTGCTTTTCGCCAAATCCGATTTTCTCGTCAAAATGTTAGCAAAACCGTCAAGATGTCTCCAAAGTTTCGTTTGTTCTCTTAACTTCGGCACTAATCACGATATATGAAGTTTCGAGGAGGAGTCTATATTTCGTTCTCTCCTCCACTTTAAAGTGTTTGTTTTCCAAGACGTTTCAACAAACCTTAATACTCGAGATTCCGTCAGTGATTTACAATTTAATTAGTGGTCCCGACCCACTCGAAAACAATTCACTTATCTCGAACGAAAAATGACATAGGTAAACGTTCGTTCCCAAGGCCCAGGTCCGCACCAGACTCTAAACGCACTGTCAAAACGTAAAGTGGTCGCATTAATTTAGGACACAGCTGGGACATGGGACTCCTTAAGTGCATGCGGTACAACGTGCATATTCATAGAGGAAACATAAAATGCCGTTCCGAACCCGGTAACGACCGCGTGTTTTGCCTGGACGAGAAAAATGGGCAAAACGCGGCGATTTATGGCGCCCACCTTCCTCGCGGTGTCGGATTTTCCCACCCAGATTTATGCTAGGGAAATTAAGTGTGCCTAAATATAGCAAATTAGATGTGCCGCTTTAAGATATCTAACAAATTGCCACGGTAAATCACCTATGACGGTTTTATGCCTCGGTGATGAATTTGCATCCCGCAAATACAACGCTTCCTCAGTTTCGACATTATCGTAAATTTCCGAACCAATTTTCAAATTGCTTAGAAGTTTATTTGTTTCGCTTTTATGGTTGGGATGTAATAAAAAATGTGAAAAACGATCAAGTTTTATATATTGGATTGGGTTGGGTAAATGAAACAAGAATTACTATCAAGAACATATATTTCTGTACAGGTTTTCGATATGTACAAAGGTAGAAATAATAATTAATTTAATTTAAATATCGCTATACGATTCCTTACGATTCCGATTAATATAGTTTATTACCGCTTTATTTACATTTTCTAAACTGCTAGTTATTATATTCGTTTACACTTGACAGATTGTCGTATTTAAGCAATACTGTACAAACTTATGTAAAGTACATTCGATCCCGATTCGATAAATTAAAAACAATACTTTTGGTAGTCGTCAGCCTTATGGGTTGATTACATCGAACTGAAACAAAGAAAATAAATTAATTCTCTTCCCACCATTTTCTTCCTTATAATAACTCACCTTTCAATGAAACAACCAATGTCGATGCTCGCATATGCAATATCACAGAGTGGGTAGCCTAGGGTCCTACGTAAGTCTTATTGGATCCAGAAATATATCTGGGTTGTCTTCCAATCCTAACTGGAGGTGGGGTAGACAAAGGAGGTGGAGGTGGAACAAATCCAGTATTGCAAATTTCCGTTGCAGCATAATATCTTTCATGAGGTGGTGGTATGCTAGGAGGTTTTGGCAAGAAATTGTGCAGAGTAGGAGCATTACGAGGTGTTTGAGGAGCTTGTAAAGGAACTGCGTATTCTGGATCACGAACATCAGCATAATCAGAACTGCTCGGTAGTCGCCCAACACTCGGTTCGCGATACAAAGCTGCTTTATCACAAGCATTCGGTATTTGAGATGGTCTCGGTGAAGATTTGTATCTTCTTTGTTGAATAATTATAAAAACAACGACAGAGATCATAGTGACAGCTAAAACTGAGAGCAAACCAACTACAACTCCAAGATATTGTCCCATACCCGATGGCGTATTCACCGCGCTAACTACGTTTTTATCAGCACTCATGTTTAAATCGTCGTCTTTTTGTAAGGGTTCTTCGATATCTTCTTCCTCTTCGGTTATATTTCCGTAAACGACAGCGGAATCAAAGGTAATTTCACTGATTAGTATCCACCGTGCAGCGAAATACAATTGAAGTTTCACGAATCTTCCCACGCGATGGTGTAGTTTGATAGAAACGTTCCGACCAGTTTCGAAGATTCTATCTTCGATGTAATCGAAAGTGATGGGTTCGCCTTTATACTTCTTTCCGCCCACACTAAACAACACTTTAGCTTCGGAAAACACTTGAACGTCTTTAGTAAACTGGTTATTACAGTAGATATTTAAAGAAGAAAACTCGCGCACTTTATCGAATTCAAAAACAATTTCGATCGGTCGATTTTCTCGAGTGTCATTTTTCCAACCAACCCAACCTTCCACATTGTTTTGTTCATAGAAAGCAGTTTTAAAATCATCTTGAGCGAATCTTCCATTAGTTAGTTGTCCCAAACCATATAAAAGTTTTTCACCATCCCAATGTCCATCGTACGCCGTATCGTAAAATTCCCAACTCGTTCCTCTTTTATCACCTTGTGGCATCGAATAACTTACAATTCCATCTGTCCATTTGCATCCATACAACTCCACGCGCATACAAACGGTTCTTTTGTGGTAACTAAACGGCAAGAATCGGACCTTACTAGCCATAATCGGTGGCTCCAATTCACTTTTATACTCCAAATAAGTGTTTATATTTCCTTTCATAACTTCTATCCCTTTATGATTTCTATATCTAATCCACTTTGAAAGCCGTGGTCTCCAATACTCTAACAAATAATCTTCGGCATATTCTACACCTTGACTATTTCCGAATCGGCCTTGAGTACCAGAACCTGTTATTACATGTACAGTGTGTAGATCAATTTGAATCCATTCTTTTACTTCAGAGGTTGCAGGCGTTTGAGGACACCAAGCACCACCATTGATTTCACAGCGAACTCTAAAGGAGAAAAATGATAATAAGAAAATGAAATAAGATTAAACAAGAAAGTTTTAATGATTACCTTCCGTGTTGTGGGCCAACATTTCCACTATCAAAAGATGAACTTGCTGTAATATCTTCGTCTTTAATTGCACCACTTTCCATCCCTAAGGGAGCTATGCATTGTGCTGCAACGAAAACGAGGAATAAGTTAAATAGAAATTAAAATCGAAATAAAAATAGTTATAGAAATAGAAAGAAAAGAAAAATAAAGCTAAAAATAGAATATCAGATGAATATAATGTATTTCTCAATAAAAGGGGAGAGATCCAATAAAATGGAATTGCTTGTTGTACATATAGACTGAGAGTAAGTGATTTCTATAAGAGGGTCTTTCAATGGTAAGAGGGTGACTTCTAAGATGAAGATGTTGGTTTGAATGACGGGTTATTACTGATAAGATTGTTTCGTACGATATTCTTAAAAAAAACTTTTAAAATTAGTGGCCCTATGTTAGCAATAAGTTTCTAAAAGAAAAGTTTTAGATTAAACTTTAATTTTTTTATTCAAAAAGGCGATGAAAAGTTTGCTTGGGGAATATGCGAGAGCTCGCTTTGCACCAATAATAGCTTAATTAAAAACTCCATCCGCGGCTAACAAAAAAAAAGTTCGATAAGTAAATAAAGTTACTCTCGGGTTGCCAGCTGGTCGGCTTATTCATTTAAACTTTTTTTCGCAGCGCCGATTAATATTGTAAAATGCAAATAGGCCTTTATTAAAGTCGCCCCTTTGGTAGGAAACAAAAGGATCTACCTTTTGCGTCCCGGTTGTAACCTGTTAAAGCGCTCTGACATGCAAATACGATTCGCTTTGTTCCCGTTTTCTCGGCAACCTGGTGTCCCGTGGGAACGATTACTTACAAGGGTCTATTCCATCCGTTATGGCCATCAGGGTCGCTAGGACCAATCCTGCTGTTAGTACCTTCATCTTTTCTTCTCCAATTGCGGCTGCCTTGTTAGTTTGACCATTTCACCTGAAAATAAAATATAAAAATTAATGATCGGTCCCAGTCGGACGCAATTTCACTGAGAGATGATAGGCACTCCAGAAAGAACCCACTTTTCGTGAAGGATCCCACTTCGAGCAGAAGGATACTCGAGAAATGTAATAATGGCGAGGTTCATTTTATTTGACAGTCCCCTTATAAAAAATAATAATTCTTAGGAAGGGAGAGAAAAACGAATTCTTGGAACGCCTCGTTTATTTTCACGCAGAAAGCATTCTAGTAATTATTTTATCAGAGAAAAGTGTTATGTCTGGTACTCGAGTGTGTTTGTTTAGACATGACGACGCCAAGGAGATTCTTTGATTATTTATTCTGGCAAACCTTCTCGGGCTTTTACTGGGTTTCACAACAATGCCGCTTATTCATTAGTAGGAATTTTATAGCGAGAAACTAAACGAATTCCGTTGTTACTCATCATTTGTGGTCACAACAATAAAAAATGTGTCTTAATTTAGGAAACCTATTTAAGATCGCTTCTCGTATTTTATTAACAATAACTTTCAGTGGCAGCTCTTTCTCATTATACGATAAAATATCTATTACCCATTCAACACAGGCCTCGTTGGGGCGTAATTGAATCCAACAGAAGCCGCTGAAGGTCTATTGGAACACCAGCTCGGTAACATGTCGAAGGAGTCAAGAGCAAAAACCGCGAAACCGACCCCGTTTGATCACGAGACCGTTAATAATGCATAGAGACAGTTCGCCTCCCTATAGAGTTTCCGCGTTCCGAGACCCCGAGGCAGTATTACGACGGACTTTATTAGGATTGCGTTTTAGGGGAGACTTGGAGAATAGCCTCGGCGTGTCTGTCGCCTCTCTTTGCGGACAAATATTTGACTATTTCTTATTTGGACTCGTATTAAAGTCTTCTGGAGAATTGGATTTGATACAGTGCCACGGTAAATTGTTTTCTTTTAGAGTCGTCTGGTTCGATAATACTCAACGCAGAAGAAACTTTAGCAATTAAAGCTCATCTATGGATCGTATATCCACGGGGGGCACATATCGATTACCGCAAAACAGAACACGCGACCCTCCTCTCTAAACTAGTTTCCATGGAACACGCTAAGCCCGTCGCGACTCGTATACGTTTCCAAGCGGTTATTAGCGAGTTTCGTTCGAAACTCCGTAAATTACGGCAGCTATTTAGGATCGAGGAACGGACACCTGAATGAGGTTGGGTCGAAATACTTCGCGAAAAGTTAGGATCGCGGTCGGGCTAGGATGAAACTATTGCACAATGGCCGGAGCATTAATATAGAGCCGTCCCGATCCGGCCGGGGTCAGATGCCAAGAATTTATATCACGTAGAATGGTCGCGCGAAGTTCCATTCCGGTTCATAAACTCTGCGGGAATAATTAATACGGGAATAGTTCGCCGTAATATCCAGCGGGAAGTTTCGCAAACGGAGCTGTTTCATGGTGAGCATGCTCTGGAATCCGGTTATCAAAGTGCAATTGGTCACTGTTATTTCGTTTCGCTAAAGTGTCCTTTGCAACTTAGGAAATATACCAACATGCAAACTTTTAATAAAAACATTTAAGTAAATACAATAAAACCTCGATATAATGGATAAGTATGGGGAAGGGAGTGTCTAACAACAATCTAACGCTAAATAACAACCAAAATAAGAACTAACACTAGCAACAGAACTAATACTAGACCTAGAACTAGAAACATTCGGGTTTAGTCGTCTTAAGAGACTAGCTCTAGTGTTAGTTGTATTTTTAGTTCAATAATAATATACAACATTCCAACACTGAATAACTTCTAAAACTAGAACTAGCACTAGAGCTAGTCTCTTAAGACGACTAAACCCGAATGTTTCCAGTTCTAGATTTAGTGTTAGTTCTAGTTTTCGTTCAATAAAAATACACAACAATCTAGCGTTGAATAACGATTAAAACGAGAACTAATACTAGCATTAGAACTAACAATATACCTAGAACTAGAAACATTCTGGTTTAGTCGTCTTAGTTAATTGTAAGTAATAATTAGAATGAAATAAATTAATAAACTACAAGTAAGAGTTGTAACTAGAACACGCATACTTACGCAATAAAACTTTAGATATTATTGTATTTAGTTCGACAAACCTTTCGAAAAACCATATATACTAGTTTTATTACGAAATAAGTTGTTACTTATATGACAATAACTGGTACTTAGAAAATTTATTACTCAAACAGGTACTTTTGTGTGTTTAAAAGTGTTTAAAATAAACGATTATGTCATAAATATAGAATGAAACTAACGATTTCCAGATGTTTCCGTTATTTTAAAATAATTATCAAACAGTTTGGGCCTTATCTGAACGTTTAAGGGGCACTAATTGCTGCAGTTACCAGCTACCATAAGCCGTCCATCAAACTTATCTCAAAACTTATCTCCCCCCACCCGAAGTTCAGTCGTAATTTTAAACAATCAAGATCTCAACCCCCGAATCCCACACGAGCTTCCACTTGGGTTTCGACGTCAACAAACATCTTTTCCCGGTCGAAGAAAACAACGGTGCCATAAAAGCTCGGTTAAGTTCCTTTTTCAGCGTCAATTGCCTCTGTTCTATCAGCGTCAGTCCATTCTTCGGGCCGAGAATCAGTCTGGTGGCGACTGAACAGATAACATCTCGTGAACAAGATGTCTTCTGTCCGGAGGTTGCGGCCGCACAGCTGCCGGTGGCAACATGAAAAGATTTAATTATTCGCCTTTTTTATTTGAAAGAGGTTTCCCGTCGCGCTGGCGGTAATTATTTGATAAGAACGGCGGCCTCTGTTGGCGAAGTGTTTGTGTAATGACCATGATGATTGAGATAAAGCGGTGCCCGTGTTCGGTGCACCAACCGGGGGCTGTGGCTCGGGTAACTAACTTTTGCTGCCGCCTCCTCGACTAGAATCGATATCCATTAGGCACGGTCCAACTGTCCTGCTCAACTTCGAGGGGCTATGTGATGTGGATAAGCAGATAATCAAGTAGCCGGACGCAGACTGCAATCGACTTAGTTTGAGCTTTATTGCGGTTTTGTTTGATTGAACTTGGATTAAAAAGATATTAAGAAGCTATTTCAAAGTTAATAATATTTTTTCAATTTATCGTTCGAAACTAAATAGTGTATTAGACAGTTTAATATCTTTAATATTTCACTTTAAGGTTACTGAAAGTCTTAAGACCACAGACATGTCTAATTAAAAACCACTTTATACGCCCGTCCAAAAATATAAACATCAAAGTACTTTGGAGCTCCGATGATAATCGCTTTACGAGCAAGAAAAATGACAGCTTCAATCCCGCGACAAGTCCCCACAGGAGCGTTCAAAGTCTCTCGAAGTTAAATATAGTCCCCAGCGAATAAATCAGCCTTAATTATCGCTCAAAGTCAAATACATCCACAACGAAAAGATTCAACTTAAAATGATGAATCCGGTAAACACTAAACTCGTTAAATTTAGCACTAACAACGACATTCACCTATTAAGCGAATATTTAGTGAACATGGGATCGTGTCGGATCTCATTAGAGACGAAGTCGGTAGCTTCCAGATGTCGTGACGTGCAAACGAGAACTCGTAGAGATTCGGGGAAAAGGAGCTGGGGTAAAAGAAGAGAATACCAAGCATTTCTGGTGGACCGGTAGCATTAGTCATGATCGAGCCAAAGAACTCCTTCTCTGTGTGGCGGTTCACATGGCAGACACGTGCTCTTTTGTGCCTGAAATCGTGTGCCCAAAGAGGTACTGGAACACACGTCGATTACAAAAAAGTCCGGTTCCCTTTATTTCATTGACCGGTGGCTATGTTTGGGTAGTTGCATCACGTACGGTTTTATTGTAGAGACCTACCACAGCACCATTCGAAATTGTCTTTACGATTCTAGTAAAAAAAAAAACTTTACTATCGGTTTCCGAAAATAACAGGAAGCCCTATACTTTTCAAACTATATAGAATTAATTCGCTATTAATGCACCCCACAAAGAGGGTGCGCATAATATATTTAAAATACCCCCACAGCGGTGTCAGGGAATTCACCCCATCTAGCAATATATTCCCGTTTTCGGGTGGTTTTTCCTCTCGGTCGCAATTTTTTTTTTCAAGGGGAAGACGAGAAGCACTCGAAAGATGCCGCCATACATCACTAGCTCGCATTACTTATTCAAATAACCGCCTCCACTTTACGCGTTCCATCGTCTCGGCGTGAGAAGCCTCACGAATATTTCCTTGTTTACCTGTGCCGACTTGTACCGGATTTATGCAAATTCCGGTAGCAATTTATTCGATTCCTTAGGAATTCCAATCATACCGAAAGCGAGGCTCACGTCCAAGATCGAAACCCATCCGAAGCTTACCGGTGACAAATTGAGCGCCTCGGCCACGCGAACAATGGCCAATTAAAATCGCTCGGAAAATTGATCGACCTCTTTTTATAAACGGGTGATTAAGACGGTAGAGGAACAGATTCAGGACCGCTGACAACCAGGCGACGTATAAATTAACTTCGAAACGGTTCGTTAAACGTAATTGCCTTTTCTCGGAATTTTTAACCGAGATGAATATTAATGCTGAAATGGTTTCCAACGAATTATCGAAGTAAACAATCCACCCACTCAACGCAATCCAGAGAATCGTCTCGCTTTATATTTGCCTGCAATTAACGTGATAATTAGACGTTATTAAGGTGTGGAAAATTAATACATCTTTTCTATTTTGTCTGCTGGACTTTCTGATAGTTGCTGCAAGTCATACATATTCAGTATTATTTAAATTAGGGGGCCTAGTTATAGGACGTTGCGATAACATCGAGCTACGATAGTTGACAGCGTTTTTCCCTTACATCGTATAAACTGTCACGAAGGTTTTAATTTAACGGATGTCTATCATGTGTGTATATCTTAAATAGTTGTTTATTTTAGATTGATAAATTTAAACGTTATATTGTAAGTAATTTTTTTTGTTTCCTTAAACATAAGTCAA